TGATATGATTTTTTGTTCTTTGATACTTGATAACAGATCCCTTTGGCACCTCGTGATCACACAGGCTGGTGTGTTCTTCTATGTGGGCTTTGTTGCTTCTGAGCTAGATGCCCGCTTGTTTACCTTCAAGCTTTTAAGACATTCATGGATATTTTTGTAGTAAACATTAATAGACATTTACAAATATCCTCTGTCAAAAAAATATATATATATATATATTCATACACCCATTCTTCCTTCCATGTTTGTTAAGCCTGTATATTAATTTGAGCATCTATTCGTAGATCACCACCACTGTAGGATTGTGTATATAACAGTATTTGCGTCTGTTGCCTTTAAATCTCGCAAACTTCCCAATGCCTTGCTCTGCCTCCATCCTTTGTTATCAATCTCCGTCTTCCTCTTTTTCCAAGTTAACACCTATCTACCCTCTGGCCTGTGACTTCCTCTCCCACCCTCTCCCTTCCTACTCCTGGGAACCATCAAAGAATGTTTATTTTAGTGTGAAAACATTTTCTTGACTATTTATAGTAGTGATCTTATACAATATTTGCCCTTTTGTGATTCTCTTATTTCACTCAACATAGTGTCCTCCAGGGTCATCTATGTTATGAAGTGCTTTGCAGATTCATCATTATTTTTTCACATTACATAGTACTTCATTTTGTCTGTGTGCCAAGGTTTACTTCTCCATTTTTCCACTGATAGACACTCAGATTGTTTACATCTTTGGGCTATTATAAATTATGCTGTGATGAACATGGGTGTAAATATGTCTATTTGTGCCATAACTTTTATTTCTTTATGACATATACCAAGAAAAGAGATTGCTAAATCATATAGCATGATCCAACTTTCTGAGGAAATGCTATACTGCTTTCTATGGTGATTGCATTGTTTTGTATTACCATGGGTGCTTTACTCAACCCAAACTTCTTAAAAGACACATAAAAGAGGTGATGAATTGGATACTGTCCATATTCTCAAGGAATAATAGAGGACTTCAATAATATTCTTTAAAGTTAGAGCAGTAATACATGTGTAACTCTATACTATGTGTAAGAATTCCTATTAATTTTGTATTAAAGATGCTATGTATTATTTTTTAAATACTATGGTATTCCATTCATTGAACATGTCTCCTTTTATGTGTCTTTCATTACCATGTATTTTAATTTCCTTCCATCCCCAACCTAGACTCTTGAATTAATCAATGAAATCTTTTGCGCGAATGTACTCAAGATGTTTGCCTTTCTTTTGCTCTACCATATTACCTCTGGGTAAGAGAAGGTGGGGGAATATATTGATAGGATTGTATGATTGAGGTGTAAGTAATAACATGGTTGTGAAAATAAAAATCATAATTGTAGATGATGTAACTGAAAGCGGAAAAATTCATTCTTGATTATATGAGAGAGACAATGGCTAGAAGAGCCATAGTTATGGTAGCCTATGGTGAAGTGAAATTATTTCCTATGGCTTGTCTATCTGTAACTATTTGTAGCTCGCACCAAATGATTCTGACACCATACAAATAAGGTACAAAGGACTCTATCTCGGGAAGCTTTGCCACTTTGAGTATAAGAGCCATCTCAGAGGCAGGAACACAGGGGATCCTGAAACAACCAAGAAAGAAGAGCCACCAGAGGATTGTGTATGAGATCCTTGTCTGAAGATGTGGAGGCAGAAGAGGCACCAGAGGCCACAGTGCGACCATGAGGAACAGCAGAGAAACAGCATCACTACTGAGGCAGAATAGTGGACTTCCAGGCTCACGGACCTATGCACGATAGGCCAAGGGACCATGTGGCTGAGAGACTGAGGACCAGAAATACGTGACTGTGAAGAGGTGCTTCAAAGAGGCACTGCTGTGGACAAAAACTGCATCCTTAATGGTTTCTGATCCTTACTTGTGGTAACTTGTGAACTTCTTTAGTAAACCTGCATAATCTCGAGTATTGTATGTGAATTCTGTGTGGCCACTGCAATGGATTAGCAAACCCATCAGATAAGTAGAGTGCTATGGAGGAACTGTTGGTGTCAATATAGGGTAAAGAAGAATAGAGGTTGGGGACATGTCTGAACTCTGCCTTGTAGAAATCAGCCTTGGGCTAGGATGGAGTTCAGTTCGCCTTCCCCTTTGTGTAGTCAGAGAAGATCAGACATGGCCTCCATGCCATTTTCTCATAGGGATTATCTGGGATCATAATAATTACAATGATTATAAAACTCTCATTACCATTTGAGGAGATTTGGATTCATAGTGCCCTTATAGAGTAGTAGGGTAGAACTGCCCTTGTGGGTTCCTGAGACTCTACATCTTTATAGGAGGAGAAAGCCTCATTTTTCTCCTGCTCCTGCAGAGCAGCTAGTCAGTTCAAACCACCAATCTGTGGTTAGTAGCTCAATGCATAAGCACCTGCCTTAATCTTTTTTCCCCTATAAATACTAAAATTATAGTATTTTCTTGACGGTATTAATTTTGTTCATGAAATAGTCATGATGCATTTATTGAGGTTAGTGAACCTGAATTTAAAGCGAGAACAGATAGCGTGTTTACATGTGTTCTTACAATCACATTCAACGGCTTGATTGTGAATAGGAAACATGAAGAAAACTGAATTTAACTAGAATCTTGTTTTGCCTCAGTTTTCTACTCCTGTAAAGAGTCTCAGAACCCCACAGGGGCAGTTATATCCTGTTCTGGAAAGTCACCATGAATCAGATTTGACTCCATGTCTGTGAGTTTGGTGGGTTTTTTGTTGGTGGTGCTGTTTTATTTTATCAACTCAGTACTCTTGGGAGACAAGCCTGATTTTTTATCTGAAGAATATCGAACATCTGCATCAATAAGCGAGGTCTTGTCTAGAGCAGGTCATCCATCAAAAGCCATTATGTATTTATGGGTCATTTCATTCAACTCAGCCCTAGACGTCCAAGCTAGGTCTAATGGGGAGCAATAGCAAGTTTAGGAGTTCACACACACACACCTCCCTGCACTTGAGATCATCTGTCCTCTTCACTCACTTTCATTAGTCCTAACCTTCAGAAGCTAGGTCATGCCCATAGGCTCGGGATCCATACAACTGTTTAAACTTTAGACCAGCCAGCCCTTCCTCCTCTTGCTCATATCTCTAGCCTCTGTGGACCAGGTCAGTGGTTTGCAATGGAACACACTCAGGCTCAGCCGTCTCTTCATTGCTGCATTTCCCCCAGTTCCACTCAACAGTAGACTTTTCCAGCCTGGGTTCACCCAAAGGAAAACTGCTTGCTCAAAGTTTTAAAAGGCAAACAGTCATCCCCCCGACACACACACACACACACATCTTCCCTTCAAAGGTAATTCTGTTCTCTCAGCAGTTATGTGTGGGTCTTCATGTCTTTGAAAATACAAATATCCTAATATTTAAGGTTCTGAGTGGGCTCAGCTTTCTATGTAAGGCCATTTACTCTGTCTTGGCTTGAAACAAAACTCTTATTTCTTCCAGCAAATTCCCAACTCCATTTTTAGCAAATGCAATCAATTATAGGTAAAAGCAGGCTTATACACTATCTGATCATAATCCCCAGTATTCATTTTCATTGTACATGCATGTCTATTTTACAATACTTTGTAGGAAAGACCAATATTCAGAGTAATTCAGCTAAAGATATAACCCTAAACACACAGTCCTTTCTAAAGCAACACTGAAGTTCAATTTTCTTTTCTGCACCTCAGACTATCCTCTTCATTTGTATATGGCCTTGAGCTCTGGCAGGGTGTATCCAGCACTCCCTGGCCATCTATCTAGTTTAACCAGCCTGCCTTTTGCCCTATTTCACTCCAGAAACAGTTTTTCTTCCTTTGGCTGCAGTTTAACATTGATTGCAGTCATTTCGATCATTAGAGCAACCAACATAATTATCTAAGGGTCAGAAATCTCATTTGCCCTACCACGTCTTTCTTTCTCTTACAAAACCACATGCTATCATGAGTCTAGAGTAATTTTTAACAAACCCCACTCCTGACTCCAATTGAGAAAATGGCATGGGGCCCATGTGTGATTGCCTATGGCTACACACAAAAAAAGGATTACCCAAATCCATGCCAGCCTAAAGCTGATTGTCACAAGGAAGAGGTCAGACATTCCTCCATTCTCCATCCTTCTTTACCCAATACGGACTCAAACCATACCTCCTATGGTACTCTATTTCTCTGCTGGGTTCAATAATCTTTTGCAAGGGGCACACAGAACTCAGAGGCAATACTCAAACTTATGAGGGCTCTTTAGGTAATTTAACAAGTCACCACAAAACAGGGTCAGAAAACATTAAGGACACAGTCTTGTTAACAGCAGTGCCTCTTCCCAGCTACATTCCTCTGGTCCTCTGGCTCTTAGTCAAATGTATCTTTGATCTCTGGTGCCTAGTTCCATGGACCTGGAAGCCCACCACCCTGCTTCATTCTCAGTGCTGTCCCTCTGCTCTGCCTCATGGTCTCAGTGCATGCGGCCTCTGGTGCCTCTGCTGTATCAACTGCCTCCACCCTTTCAGACAGGGAGATCTCATAAACAGCCCATTGGTAGTTCTTTATTGGTGCTCCAAGGATTCTGTTTACCTGCTTCTGAGATGGCTCTCTTATACACAGAAGTGTGCAGAAGTGTGGCAAAACTGACCAGTTCCCAAGTTAGTGTCCTCTACATCTTATTTGAATGTCTCATTTAATCATTTGTTGGAAACTACAAATGTATATGGATAGATGAGCCCTAAGTAAGTAATTTCATTTTACCACATCTAGAAAATACCTGTTTGCATACATCAGTGGATTTAACAGTTTTGATATAACTGTTGACTTTCTTTCATGTCTAGACTGAGACATAATTAGATCCATTGATAATTTACTTCCTACCATTAGTTTGATTTGTGTTAAGGGAAGGTATATTTTCAGCTATATAAAATGCTTTATGTATGTACTTTTAAAGATATTAACATGTCTTCTCTATATTTTGTTTGATTCCTAGTCCATCTACTGACATAAAAATGTCTGAAATAAGATTCAGCTCTCTCACCTGGGATCAAGTTATAATACTAGATCAAGTGTTAGATGAAGTGATTCCAATTCATGGAAAAGGACACTTTCCCACTATGGATGTAAAACCAAAAGATATCATTCATGTTGTGAAAGACCAACTCATAGAGCAAGATATTATCATTAAAGATACTCGACTGAATGGTTCCACAGCAAGTTACATACTTGCAAGCCATAGTGGAATCACCTATAAGGATTTGGACATTATTTTTGGTGTCGAACTTCCAAGTGATCAAGAATTTCAGGTTATTAAAGATACAGTTCTAAGTTGTCTACTCGACTTTTTACCAAAAGGCGTTAAAAAGGAAAAGATCACGACGACGATCATGAAAGAGGCCTATGTGCAGAAAATGGTCAAAGTTTGCAATAATCATGATCGTTGGAGTCTCATCTCTCTTTCAAACAATACTGGGAAGAATATAGAACTAAAATTTGTGAATTCACTCAGACGACAATTTGAATTTAGTGTTGATTCCTTTCAAATTGTTCTTGATTCCATGCTAGACTTCTATGTGGACAAAAATGCCAGTCTCAGCCAAGGATCCTATCCTGTTGTTGTAGCTGAAAGCATGTACGGAGACTTCCAGGAAGCAATGACACACTTGCAATACAAACTTATATCTACCAGAAACCCTGAAGAGATTAGAGGTGGTGGCCTTCTCAAGTACAGCAACTTGCTAGTTCATGACTTCAAGCCAGCTTGTCAAAGAGAAATCAAGATTCTGGAACGTTACATGTGTTCTAGATTCTTCATTGATTTTCCTGATATAAGAGAACAACAAAAGAAAATCGAATCATACCTCCGCAATCATTTCAGAGGTGAGGAAAGGAGCAAGTATGAATACCTTATGACCTTGCGTGGAGTTGTGGATGAAAGCACTGTTTGCCTCATGGGCCATGAAAGAAGGCAGACTCTTAACATGATCACTGTTATGGCTTTAAAGGTACTTGGAGAACTGAATGTCCTACCCAATACAGATAACGTAACTTGCTTTTATCAGCCGGCACCCTACTGCACTGTTCAGGGAAGTGGCCCTAGTTATTATGTAAGTTCTGGACCACCACCTATTTTCTTCCAGCCATACCACCCACTACACTTTCGTGTGCCAAATGGTATGTTTTAAAACACATACGCACATACACAACAGGAACTTGCTTTTAATCAAATACCTCTTAAAGCAAGTTTTTATGTACTCTAGATCCACTTTTATTTCATGGCTGTAATCCATCATTTATAGCTTAAACATTAAATATAATAGCATTTGTAACATCAACTCTTTAAAATATTTTTAAATGTTATTGATTAATAACCACTTTCAAAGTTATGGTCCACTTAAAATTATTATCAAGTCTTGATGACTATTTGCAATCACTTTCAAATTTTTGCAACAAATACAATATGGAAGTCTGAATCTTTTATTAAAATATAAAAACAGACTCATTTTCAAATACAGAGGTACATTGAAGATACATGCTACCAGTATTCAAATACCTTTATTACCTTAATCAGTTTTTATGGTAACACCATCAGTAAATTTTCAATACTTAATAAAAAATGTCTAATTTCAAAGAGAAGAGATTCAGAAAACTTTGGAACCCTGGATTTTGCCAACGTCTGTTTTGTTTCCCAATTAAATTCAGTACAAAATCCTACTATGATTTGAAGAAACGCTGAAAGTAAATAGTTCTGGAAAATACCGGACATTAATAATTCCTCATCTGTCAAATAAGACATGTAGTGTAATTTGTGGATTGAAAAATAGTACCATCGAGCTGTACAACCAGTTCAGTGACTGTTATACAGATCTGTGTCTATGACTAGTTATGGAGATTTCTCTTTTCATTCACTGAAAAGAATGAAAATGACTAACTCTGAATATGAACGCTTTCTATCATCATCTGTTAAAAAGAATTCTACGTGGCGAGCATGATAAAGCAGACCAGAAGTTTCAACCTGGTTATTTACCATTTTTGACAAATATCTTAATATGTCTGGAAATATAGTGAAATATGTTAATTTTCATTAAATGAAAATTTTGTTTACCTTTGCCTTTACCAAATGTCATTTTCGAACATCACAGTCAAGTGTCTCATTGAGTTTGTGAATAACACTGAAATTTGTTTAGAAATTGCATACGTTCATGAAGTATCTAAATATCTACTCACCACAGAAAACACACTGTTGAACAACACGTCTACCAGGGCAATTGAAAAGTATTTTCTTACCATGATGAAAAAATAACCCTTAACCAATAGTATCTGGGAAGAAAGAAGGGAAGTTGTTCTGAATGAATACATTTAAGACCATCAGGAAACTTGTACTTCTTTTTCTTGCTTCAGATTGTGAGTTTCCATCTCCATTTTCATTGACCATCACAAGTTGTTCCATCACAACATGATCTGACAGTCATGTTCTGCAAGCTTGTTACTTAACCATCTGTGTTTAACTTTTCTTCTCTATCTTCAATGAGAGAGCACAGGCGGAAGAATTGAATTCTTGTTTTATCACAGGTGCAACACTGGAGAGATCAGTGAGGGAGACTGGTCTCCATGAAAATGAGAGAAAATGGTATGAGTGTGTATAGTAATATCTTAGTCAGCAATTTCATATTTATTATATGAAGATAATTTAAAGCTTTTCTATACAAAACGTGATTTCAATCCTAAAAGGAAAAATAATGACTATATTGTTATATCCATAACTTGAAATATTGAAGTTTTCAAAACTAGTATATTTGTAGCAGTCACTTCCAAATGGTTATAAAAAAACAAAAACTGTTATGAGATGGACATTGATATTTTAAATCCCTATTTTAAAAGTTTTATAAATGGTCACTCCCTCAATAAATAAATAAGCTTATCCAAGCATATACTAGAGGGTGTTTGAATAAAGAATATTTAAATTAATTTTCTTTCAGCCTCAATGTGAACTCCTTGAACAAAAGAATTTCCACATAAAGTACTTTCATTATAATTTTAGTAGTTTTGTAGAGTAACTTTTGGGCACTGCTGATTAAATGCCTTCAAAAATATATGGTTGCTCAGTGAACTCCAAATAACTATTTTTATCTTATAATTAAATATTGTCTTTCTCTTTTATCTCCTTCCTTAAGATTTATTATCAGGTGAAATGCTTTCAGATAGTATCAGTAGATTGAAAGTTAAAATAGTGTTTATAGTTAAAATTGACTGTAAAAAGCACCCTATATCTATCTTTAAAATGAAAGCCATTTTAATGGTAAGTAATATATGCATATGTACCAAAGAAGAAACCATGCCAGGGTGGTTGTCTGATTAAGAAATGTAGATGAGTTGATTTAATATGTTATATGTAGATATTTATCTGAAATTCCATCTTTGTTTATTAGTCAAGGAGAATATCACTGCAGATGGAATATGCAAATCCTGGGGGCATGCAGTTTATTTGCCTAAAGAACACATTTTAATTCCTCCTGCCTTCCCTGACCCTTTTCCTCATTTACTAAAATGAACATTTCATGTCCAGAGTGATAAAAAGCCAGAAGGGAAAAAGCATGGGAGCAATGATCACTCTTTATATTCCCAAAAGATAAAATACTACCCTTCTAAGTTTTTACCTAGTAAGGGTAAAGTCTGGAAGTGGCATAATCATTTAAGGTCAGATTATGATAGTAAATGTTTCTATTGTTCAAAATAAATGTTCTTTGTATGTTGTAAAACTTCAATTTCAGGATCTCTGATTTTTCAAAATTGCTTTTAAGTTATAGTGACAACATTTAATTTAGAAGTCTAGAGATACACGTTCACTTTTCAGATCCCAAAGAAACGTAGAAATCTAAAGAATTACATTTTGATTTATATTCTTCTTTATGAATTATAATTTACAGCTTTCAAACTTTAAAAAGCCACATGCCAAAGAGTACAAACAATATCTTGAATGCAATCCTATAGAATTAATGTGACATTAAAATATAATATTATGGCATCAGCTAAATCCACGTGGAAGAAGCACATCAACATCCATGATCCAAGAATTATAATTATATAATCCAACTCTGAAGAGGAAATAGTATCAGAATTTAACGTTTGAAAATCTGGTTTGCAGAAGGTTATGGGTGACAGTGGAAGCCCAAAATACATTTTCACGATCTACACAGGGAGTAAATCTCCAGTGACTTCTCACTAAGTATAAATTGAGGGATGGGAATAAACTAGTTACCAGACAGAGAGTATTGGAGAGATGACTATATTCAAATGATAAATCTGACTTGAATGGTTAAACTCTTGTCACTTGATCTTCCCTCTGATATACTTTGGGCTTCATCTGGTTTTTAATATTTTCTGGGTTTATTTCATATTGGGGTTTATCTCTGTTGTACTTTGTCATTGAGGGTAAAATTCTTGAATCTTTGCTATACATTTTTCTGTGCTTTTTGGTATATGAAACCCAAGATTGATGAACCTATAGAAACAACAATTAGAATAAGTTCCTGGAGGGTATGAGGGTGGTGGGGATAAGGGAGAGCTGATATCAAAGAGTTCAGAAGAAAGAAAATGGTTTGAAACTGACTTTGTTAGCAATTGTACAACAACACTTGATGTGATTGGACTGTGGGATGGTATGGTGTCTGGATAAGCTCCTAATAAAATGGAAAGAAAAATGTTTCCAGTTCTCAGTGTACATTATTCTCCTTATCTAAGAAGATTTTGCCCTGTGGATTCGTTTTTTGTTCCAATTTTCTATTTTATTAATGAAAAATCAAATAGAGATGACAGCGGTATTCAGTAGGGTGTTTAGTAACATTCACTTTAAGATGGTTCTAAAATTAATATTATTTTCATTTATTATATATTATTTATTGCTAAAGCAGCTTAACAATCAAATGGAAATTTAGGAGGGATGTAAAGGACCTTTTTGTATTACTATTTTGCTCAGTCCCCCAAAAATTAGTAGCATATCATGCGAGACAGGATTATGTGACTAATGCCAGTAAATTACCTGACAAGGTAATCACGTTTATTGATGATACACAGAGAATCATCAAGTAAAATCATAAAAAATATTGTAAATCTTAATTGGGAGAGGATGTGGAATAAATTCCTGCTAAGCATATGTTTACCTGTCTGTGAATAAATATATTAATTTTAAAAGTATGTTCTTTTTTAGATATCTTTCTTCACATATTAAAATGGAATATCACATTTATTAGATGAGTAAATTTTCGTATATTTTCTGTATTTTATTCAAAAAGCCTAAATGTTTCCAAGGATGGCTAGAAATAATCCCTGGATTGTCCACACCTCAACCCATATTGTGTGATATTGTCCAATAGTTATTTTTTTCAAATTTGTCTTTAAGATCTTTAGCAGTTTAGTTTTCAAATTTATAGATAACTAAGTCTATAACAGGTGGCATAATTTGTCACCACCTTGAAGTTTAAATAAAGTCATTCTGTCACTGTTAAAACAAATCCCATTTATTTCTGAAAATATTTTATATCCCTAGATTGCTACTAGATTTAATTGAAAGATAGATTTCCCTTTGACAACCTGTGGTTAATTGTCTCATCTCCCTGTTCATGTTGTATTTTGAAAAGCATGAGCAACCAGAAAATGCTTTCTTTAAATACCAAGTGTTTCTAGACATTAAAGGAAGGTCTGTACTTGCAAAACAAGTAACTAAGGCAATTAATTACTCAAGTAAGGTAGACCAGAAGCACTAAGTTATAAACATGGAAAGGGTTGCCTAAATTAATTTGATCTATGTCAACCAAACCAAAATTACCTATTGGATTTGGAGGGGGGAAAAAACCTCAACAAAATAATTTCACTAGCTGTAAGACAATTTATCTGATACAGAATAACTTTAAATAAGAAGAAACTGACTTCAAAACTAAAAAAAAAAAATGGATCCATGGAATTTATCTTAAAGATGTATTTCATGTTTAAATCAATTCAAATTTGGTTAGCATTGAAGAAAATGCCAGAAAAAGTAATTATAGTTCCTGAGTGGAAAACTAAATAGAATCATCTAAACATAAATGATATTCACTGCTATCAAGTCAGTGCTGACTGTGGGTTTCCTAGACATGAACTGTATGCGGGAGTAGGAAGCCCAGTCTTTCTCCCTCAGAGCTGTTGTGGGTAGAACTGCGGACCATGAGAACCGCCGCCCAACGTGTAACCACTAAAATCCAAGAAAATCACTGACATGATCCTCTACATAAATAAGAGATTTTCATACAAAACAATTCACTTTTAGGGAAAAAATGAATTTAAATATAGCTTACAGAAGTAGATTTTTAGTTTTATATTAACATCACCAATTTTAGATTGTTAAT